CATGCCACACTGATGATACGCTTGTGGCCGTTTCGCTAGCTTCACTGTTGTCAAAATTGGCATTAAGTGATGCCAATGCACGACGAAGGTATGTGTCTGGTGCAAACGTGATAATCGTGAGATGCGTGTCATGTGAGAACGTGACTACATGCTGAAGCCAAGGCGCAAATACATTTCTACATGACGTGGTGCGCGTGCTCGCCAATGTTAATTTCGCGTTGCCGCGCCAGTCGCCGGTGCTGCCATATAATCGAAGGCACGCGCTGCGCTACATTTCTGTGACGCATACGCATTGCAGCGCGTCCGGCGTCCTTTCGTCACGAAAAGAGGGAGACGCAGTCTTCTCTGGGTAACGCATCGGTGTGAATTGCTGCATGTCGCATTTCGCGCCGGTGGCCGTTGGGCCGCGCTGAAGGATGGTGGGCATGCCTGGTGTGCTCTAACGTAGCGTCGCTGTGCCCAGCGTGCGTGGGCGTCAACGTTACATTGGAGTACATAGGGTCCTTCATGATGCGCTCGTGGCTGTTTGTGAGCTTCACATATAACAAATTTGGTGTTACGTGACGTCAATGTATGACGAAATATATGAGTGGTGCAAACAATATAAACCTGACACGCGTGTCATGTAAGCATACCGCGCTCGTAGCATGCTCATGTAAGCATACACGACAGCATACCGCGTTCGTAGCATGCTCGAGGCCATTTAGCTAGCTTCACATATACTAAATTTGGTATCACGTGACGTGAATAGATGATGAAGGTAAACGACACATCCTAACATGACAATTATGACACGGAAGTCACGTACTGCATCACATACTTCCACCTCGTGACGTTCTGCTGAATTTGAAGTTACATATCAACATTTCTCATTCGTGCTTCGCATATCATCGATTCCCACTGTGGGATATGCCATTTTTTTCGATGTCGGAATGAAACCAGAATAATAGACAAGGTGTCCGTGGATAGTGAGTTGGTGGTGACTGACGCTTCGACGAGTTGAGCTGAAGCCTTGCTTTGTATGAATCCAAAGGAATGGTCGAGAGGCTGTCGAGGTCGGTTTCAAATGTCTGCGAGAAAAAAATGACGCCATCATGGTGGCACAAGCAGATTGACCATTTAAAACCGCGAAGAAGAGCGTTTATTATTCGTTCATGTAGCTGGGCCATTGCATAGCTCGAACGGTATTACCATAAACTGATATAGTTTGCCGGCAGATATACACCCTGCCTTTTCACTGTGCATGTGATCTACTGGTATCTGTCAGTAGGCGAAAGAAAGCTCGATAAAATAGAAATAATTAGATCCACTAATGCAGTGAAGGGCGTCATATTTGCGTGGCAAAGAATGCACTTTTTTGAAACTTTTTAAGAGCCTGGAAGTCGACATGGCAACGACAGTTGTTATCCTTTTTCCTGACAAAGATAACAGCCAAAGCCAAAAGGCTTGAAGGAGGCTCAACGAAGTCCCGTGCGGGTGTCTCGTCGACTTTTTTCTGGATCAAGTGGCGTTTGGTAGAGCGAATCTGATAGGGCGGTCGATGAGCTGGATTTATATCGCCGGTATTATTGCGGGGCTTTATGGCGTTTTTTAGCCTATCGGTTGGTCGTGGAGAACAAAAATGTCGTGTTTCGGGCGCAAGAAGGCCACAAAGAGCGTTCACAGGCTCGGCCGAGAGATCAAAGGTGATCATTTTTGTTGTGCCTTCTAGTGGAGTGCCTGACTCAAGAGTACTGGGTGCCAGTGTATTCTCTGTTAGGGCGATGATGTGTTAGTCGCCGGCTGGGAAAGGGTGGCAAAGTATATTCCCCGGGGCAGTATTCGAGAGCACAGTCCAATGTTCACAATAGGGGGACTTGTGACGTTGTCCGTCATAGTGATAATCGCTTTTGGCAACATTGCGTTAAACGAACCCAGGATGGGAGAGTTAGGCGACATGACGTAGTCTTCGGTCACAGGTGGATCGGAAGAGACTTCTATATATGTCATAGTTCAAGGGAATAGGCGAATATGCTCGGCGGTGTTTAGCGTTGCCGACGCAGGAGCAAGACGGTCAACGACAAGTGGTAGGGCTACCTGGACACACATGAAAACTGCCAATCATGGTGAACAGCTCCAACAGAAAATCTGGTGGGAGATTGATTTTATTTGGACATAGGACGTAAACCAGAACATAAATATGGCGTCCAGCAGCAGTGACGTGGCCGGCACACATCCATATGGCAGCTGATGTTGCACCATTGACTAATCAGACTGCACTGATTAGAGCCGAGGTGAGCATTCTCTTTAGCAGAACACGAAAGCCGAAGTTCATGACTGATATGTGCGCACCATTGTCAATGAGTGCTATTACAGGTGTTTCATTGGCATTTCCTTTTATCAAGTTCTTGTGTTCAGAGAGCACGTGTAGACGAATTTCAGATCGGGTCGTTGTAGAGGAATTTCAGGTTGGGCTGTCAAGGCAGGCTCACCTCTAGGAGCAGCACTCGTTAGTTTTTCAAGGAGTAGTGGTGCTAGGAGGGTGAGGGAAAGTGGTGCCGGACAGGTTAGCGGGACAGGTGCGTGTATGGCGATGGCGGGCGGTTTGATTGAGCGAGCATTGATAGCGAAGCGTGGTCGTGCTCAACGTGTATTGGCATGCGGGAACCATTAGGTGAGTGCCGGATGTTGGCGTAGTACGGCCATGGCTGCCCACTCCAGGAACTGCGGCAATGGCGTAATATGTGGATGACTAATCACCAGAAGAAGCAGATCGGTCTGTCATCGGATGTTCGACCTTCAGCCGAGTTTCTGTAACCTGGATGGTTGTATAGGTCACTTGACATATCCGGGACACAGGGTAGTCGGTCGGGTTTGTTAACTGGGCAGAGCATCTGAAGTACAGCGTTGGCCAGTGCCTGGCGCACAACTGTCTGGAATAATGACATTGCTTAGCGACAATCATCAGTGACATGGGGTTGACCAGGAGTAGGAGATTAGGCATGGATTTTATAGTGAACGATGCCCACAATATTGTGGGCAGCAGCAGAGGCTTGTGGTAAACGGGCGTCTTTGGAGGTAGGTGTTGCAGCCATGTAGGGAAGACACAAAAGACACGAATAGAGGGGAGTACTACGACCACCTCTCGCTTCTTCAAATCAGGGCAATTTAAGAATGACATCATCTACTCTCAATGAGTTGCGTGATACAACGAGAATAAAGGCATCAACCACAATTCTTTGAAGGTGTGTGCGATCTATTCGGATCCAAGCATACTGTCGTCAACCTTAGGGCAGAGGGTGAGCACTTCTTGAATGTATGTCACGTATGAGTCGGTGCAGAACTGGAATCGGAACGCGCATTTTTTTGTGCTGCTTGACGATGCCGAATGGGCTTGCCGAAGAGATTGATGAGTTTGCATTTGAAAGTGTTCCAACTCGTGAGCTCTTCCTGGTGGTTTGAAAATGAAACTTTGGCTTTGCCCTCAAGGTAAATAAGAATATTGGGAAACATGAGCGTCAGGTCTCAGTTGTATAGCATGCTCATCCGTTCGTATAAATGAAGCCAGTTTTCGACATCCTTGTCATTGCAGGAAAAGGTGCCATGTTCACGCTGGTGGGTCAGAGCAATAATGCGCTTAGTGACGGCTGGATGCGGCACTGTTATTCGCTGCTTGTTTGGGCGAGGCATGGTTTGTGAAGTTTCGACGAATCGTCGTTCTCGTCGTTATCAGCCATCGCAAAGGCAGCCAACGAACTTCCGCTGCATAGAATCGTCATTGGTGTTGATTCTGGAGGACCCGCTGTCTGCACCAAAATGTTAAGTTAAGTGTTAAGTGCCGAAAAGTGCTTGACAATATATTTACTACGGATTCACAGGCAGGCGTACAAGGTGGAGGCCAGTCTGTACGAGAGAGCTAGTATTGTCGTCTTCCATATCGCGTTCATCTGTGGAGCCCTGTAGTAATTTTCTTGGCCTAAAGTTCCTATTTGTGCCAATCGATACATGGCTATGGGCAAGCGAAAATACCACAAAGCATAAGAGAACACAGACAGAGCGAGCTCTGGCAGCACTGTATGGAATCACTGTGCCCTATAATCCTGTACTTCGCACTTTTTTCGTTGTGATCAGCCACCCCTTTCCTTGATCTCTTAGAATGACGATCGATACCTAAGTATCATAAGCACTCTTATGACTGAATACTCCGATGCGGTTGCACTTTTCTTAATCAAATAGATCAAAAATCCCAAGACACTGCCAGGAATGTTTCTTTGCGTAAGCATACTAAGAAAAATGAATGATCGTAGGACATCCTTCACCATAGCAGTCATGAACAAGATCAATCTATTGCATATGCGAAAACAACTGATTAAACCTCCGAACCATTCACTCGGCAATCGTCTTACAGAAAGTTTTGACAGGTAACAAAAAACATTCTAGGGCACATGAGCCAAGACCGTCAAAAAAAGCTAGGACTGCTATCGAGGGCCCGGACTGTTTGCTTCCAAAAACCTCGCTTAGTAAAACTCCGCGTTTTTTATGTTTGAGCTATCATATTGTAGATATGTATAATACCTACGGATGTTCTGACGAAGCTGTTTTGAAATTCTCCCGTCTAAGAGACAAAGTGGCGAAGTTTCCAACACACCTTCGCAGTTGCACGCAAGGAAATGAAAGACACGAAATCACACAAACACAATTATAAAAAAAGCAAGAAAGCAAAAAATTTTTTCACGTTTGCCAAGCCGTATTCACTGCAGAATTTACATGAACTGTGACGCAAGACCGATATCGTACTCTTGTACGTGCAGTGGAGAGTTTCGGATTTCTAGCAGGCAGTAAGCAGCAAATAATTATTTAAGTTCACTTGTAATTAACCTAGCACATTACAAAATGTCAGATTATTGGCCTTTGCCATCATTTCTGGTTTATTAATTATTGGCTCTATGTGATTGACTAAAATAGCACAGCCTCCCTATTTGTAATACGTTTCTCTTATGAAATAGTCACTTAGTACTTACTAGGCATTCATCTCCTTTCTTAGAATTATGCATTATTGTTGCTCCTGGGCCTTCATGTTTGCAGTCGACCTTGCAGGTAACTTGCTTCTATAAAACCAGGGAGGTGTATTTTCAGACAACGTAAAAGGGCATTACTTTAAAAGAAGGTCCTTATATGCAGATTAAAAAACACTGAGGAATTTCTACACAACAAAGACATATTTGATCCTTCGTCAAGGATCGCCCTAACAAAAGACTAGATGGGTGCTTTGTGGGAATTAAGGTTAGCCCGCTGCCTTTGCATGGGCTTTGCCGCCTTTTCTGCCGTTCTCATGTCCCGACGTGACTCCCTTCCTCCATGGTCCGCCTCTCTGGGAGAGCGGAGTGACGTTTAACCCCCTCACTCGGTAGCGGATGTGGACTGTGGCGCCGCGCGCAGTCTCCCGAGAGGTTTTGAGCGCACGCATCGCGAATGGAGAGACCTCTCCGGGGATGACATGAGAGTAATCATGCTTTTATTTTTCGTCTGTCAGCTCCCTGTGGGGCTTGTTCAGACTTCGCGAACAGCGCCCTGCGCACACACCAAACGCTTATGTTATGTCGCCCCCCCCCCCCTTCCGAACGCTAGGGCTCCTAGTGCGGGTTCCTAGTGCGTGGCCAGGCTACGCCGACCCGTATCTCTCTGAAGCCAACGCGAGCGCCTTTGCCCACACTCGAGCAACCAGACCTTGGTCCCGGTGTCTCCGTGAATCACTTTTACCAGGGAGACGTGCTCGTGGCACCCTGTGTGGTATTTTGCACCCGTGGCATAGATGAGCCCACTTTCTTTGCCGCGACGCCTTTGCAACGGGCTGTGCTGTGTTTTGGTGTTGCCACAGACAATAAAACGTTGCGACTTTGAGCAGTACTGTGTTCTCGCCATAGCGACTGTTAACGCGTGCCGTGCGGCTCGCTAAAAATGGACCCACGCTAGTGGCTGGACTCCTTCGGAATACTTGTCACCACGGCTTCCGCCACAATTCGAATATTTACCTTGTGGTGATCAGTGTTGTACAAAACGAAGTTCCAGGAACTATTTGCTTTTTAAGGAAGAGGGAAACGCTACCATATTCTTCAGGATTGGTGGAAAGGTAACTGTAAGTCATTTTTTCTATCAAGAAACGTTTCACGAGATTGAACAGGTGAATGCAAGCGGCAAACCACAACGTGGTGGTAGGGCCACAGTGGCGGTGGGATCAAATTCCGACTCGGACAACTGCATTTTCGGTGGAGGTGAAAATGCTGTAGGCCTGTGTGCTCAGATTTTGTTGCACAATGAAAACCCCAGGTGGTCGAAATTGCCAGAGCCCTCTACTACGGCGTCTCTCTTATTCATTGGGTGGGTTTGGAAAGTTGAAATTCACGTATCAATCATCAATTGAAAGGGCCACCACGGGTGGCGAAAAAATTGTACGGCTCGCCTGTAGCGTGACTATAGTGCATCGTGGGTTTCACTTAATGCGTCCACCAGGAAAGTGCATGACGCCTAGTCCGACCACATACGATAGGGACTTCAATATGATTTGTACAATAGTACTGTAATGCTTGAGGTTTGCATTCTGTCGTACCACGATAATGAACTTGCATGTGCTCCATCTGTCTTGTTTGTCGTTTCCTCCTTTGCTCCTAAAATAGGTGCGCCTATTGGACCAGCGTAGACAGCGGTAACTCTGGTACAGCGAAAAAAAGTGAAAGAGAGAAACTGTTGAGGCGACAAAATTTTTGATGAGGTAAGAATAAAGCCCGTGCACTCACAACCTGAAGGTGAGCGTCGTAACCACTGGGCTATCTAGCAATTCAGCGCAAAAAGAGAACTAAGACAGTCATGCTACTCGTAGTTCGGTAAAATAAAGAAGACATAGTACTGGATTACACGCATATTGCTCTAGAGCGAATATATAAAATAATGCCCTTTTCTCAATGTACCCTGAAACGCCGGTAAAGATAAACACCTCACCAATGCAATATTGCATTCGGACTGACATTCCACCACTCGTACACACAGGCCAGCTGAATTATCATCGTTATGAAGTGGGATATCGAGAGAATCGATAGATCCACGTTTCCCTGCAAGACGCGTGCACGCTAGCACAGCATAGTATACATAAAAAGCTCGCGTATTGTAATATATAATATATAGCAAGGCAATGGGAAAGAGAAGTTACGGCTACGAAAAAAAGAAAAAAAAAGTGACAGCTTTGCCGCAAAGACGAAGCAATGACACGATAGCAACAAGTTGGAAGGTCACGCACAGAATGGCAAGCAGATCGAAATGTGTCCCATGTTTCTCACGCACAAAGGGCGCCTGAAACGTGCTCACATGTACAAATTAACGCGAACAAGCGCCTCAGTTTTTACTTCGCAGTGTGAAAAAAGTGCGCCCTTTTCGTAAGCAGAGGCTGTGCAACGATTGCACAGAACTCTGTGCGCCCGGCAAGTACAGCATAATTGTTCCGACGAAAGTTAACGGTTAGCCAAGACGTACCATTCTTCCCAATGCAAGATAAGGGCGCGCAATCGAGCGCATACCTCTCATCCTCAATGTGCACCAGAGTACCTGTGAGGTATGAGAGCCGCCGCGCGCTCACTGCGCCATTTAGCTGATATTACTGAAAACACAGATATAAATGGCTTGCTGTTAATACACTTACAGTGGTGCCTCTGGGCGGCTGAGTGGTTAACACCTCACGTCCACGACACGAATGTCCCACATTCGATTCCGTGCATTTTTTTGCGTTTTCTTGCGTTTTCACATATAGAGATACATATATCGTGCATGACATTGACGCCGACGTCCACGTCAACGCTGACGCCAGCGGCGAAATCCAGTCGAGAGTGGGCATATAATTGCTATCGCAATAAATGGAGCGAATGAGTATCGATAGAGAAAAATGGAATGAAAGGCAGAAAAGCGAGAAAAAATGTAAGGCTCAGAACTTCTCTGAAGAGAGGGAAAGACAGTGAGGGGAAATAGAGGAAATAGAGATGTTAAAAAGAGAAAGAGATATTAGACAGGTATAGGATGAAGAAAGTGGCAGCATATCCACGGGGTGAATGATGGGGAGTTGGGTGAATCATCAGTCCATCCATTCTTTCTTGCTTCCATCCGTCCATGCATCCGTCTGTGTGGCCGTCCGTCAGTCCATCCATCTTCCATCATATATTTTCCTTATAGAAGCACTGCCATCTAGCGCACATTCCAAGGACTAAACGAGAGGTGGCACACGCACTCTTTCTTGCGGCTTGCGCTTCGGGTCTACATTCCACCTTTAACCACCTCGTGTTCATGGTGTATACTAGTTTACTGTATTCATGACATTGCAACCAAACACTTGCTAACCCTATCTAAAACCAAGGACGTTACGCCCAGCGAGTATAACCTAGCAACCCTTTCTTGTCAGATAGTGCTCAATATACGTGCCAATGGCTGCTAATTGGGAATAAGAGACAGGAGAATTCGACTTCTAGTTAACGCGCACGCTGTGAATTTTTCATTGTTCAACAACGCGCAGGAGAAATCCTCACCAGGCCCACCTTGCAGGTCAAAGCGTAAGACTGGTTACGCCCTACGACTACGACGAGGGACGAACGGGTGCCGCTTGAAGGAGCTTCGCCCCTAAAAGAAACGAATAGAAAGACTGAGAAATAGATACAGAAATAAGTTCGCTGATGGCGAACAGGCAACTTAACTAAGTATCAAGTGTGTATCTTTCTATTAGACAATTTGTGCACCATGTACCGTAGCCAACTAGACGTTAACACTGACGAATACGTGTGCACACAGACAGATAGTTGCACAGTGGCTTTCTCCATGCCCTCTCTGTTCATGTCTTGATAGCGTTACATGGATTGCGCTGTGTCACCAACAACAGTAGAAAGCGTTGTAATCACTGCGGCTTTGCGAAAATTGTGAACGCTCAGCGCGTGAGCTCTGGTAGTGTTGATGGATTCACCGTCGGCGTTACAGTGACTGTATCAAGGGCTACCTCAAAGAAAATTCAAAAGGCAATGCCTGGCAATCGTGATGCGGCACTGCTGCTCGTAGGCAACGTTTGCAGCCTCCTGGGAATCCCGGGTACGTACTTATGTTTTACTTTTTGTCTCGTGTGACCAGTTATGCAAGCTCGTTGGCTAAAAGATGGAATGGGGCTGTAAACTTCACAGCGATTTTCTTTTCTTCTGCCCACTTTGCAAGTTCCTGGCTCCTGAACGCCGACCGATTGTCAGACATATTGCATTTCACTCCCTTGAATATGTGTTTGTTCAGTTGTGCTATAACGGTATTCGCGTTCTCACTTCCTAACTTGGCTGTAACGATCCTTGAGCATTCGTCAATGCCCACTAAGAAAGATTGAGTTTTTTAACGCCTTCAACTTTTGTGTTTTGCTCAGCGAAGTCTACATGAACGGTTTGAAATCGCACACTTGCATGAAGTGTAAAAACCATAATGTCTTTTTTCTGCTTGCAAATGGCCTTGTCGAGTTGTCAGTCATGGCAGGAGATGATGCAATTGGCCTCATCCTTCTTCATTGCTGGCCATGCAGATCGCATTCTCAATTCGCAATGGTTTTGCCAAAACCCACCGTGTCCTCGTGAATGTAGGCTGTCGTGGTAGAGCTCAGGAACCTTTCGCATCAACGTAACTGCAACCTAGAACTTTATTCCTATGGGCTTCAATTCTTGTGTACCTTGCCAGAGTTTGAGGGAGTTGAGATTTTCCTCCTTCCCATAGCCACTGATTACAGGAAGCCGAAAAAGTGCATTGGCATCTAATAGTTTCTGCCTGCTTCTGAGTGCGACTTCAAAATCAAGCTCCTGAATTTCACGGGTACAAAAGAGAACTCCTCCTTTTCGTTGAGAAACATTGAACAAATGGCTAAGCGCCTGATGGTTAGTGCAGAGTTTGTGTTTTGTTTTTTAATATAAAGTTGACAATACCTTATCGCGAAATCAATGGCCAATGCTTCCTTTTCTGCCGTGCTGTAGTTCTGCAAGTGTGACTTGCTTTAGTTCCTCTGTTTTCAACTGTTCTTTCAGCACTGCCTTTTCTTGTTCTCAACCTCCTGCCC